CGCACAGGCTGCAAATTGGTGATGGGAGGCGCCGCTTCTCAATCTCGAGAGCAGCCTCTGCGCTGTTGACCTGCTGCTTCAGTTCCTTCTCTCGCCTCCTCCGCTCCAACCCCAAGTTGATCCGCAGCTCCTCGAGCGCCTCCTCGTGCTCACGCGCTCGCTCCTCCTCCGCTCCGACCTTCTTGGAGAGCTGCTGTTGCAGCGCCGCCTCCCGCTCCTGCGCCGCTTGGCGTTCTGTGGCAGCTAACTCCACCATCCGCGCGAAATTCGCTCCCAGCTGAGAGTTCTTCTCCTCGAGCGCCCTGACGCGCGCGCCGAGCTCGTCAGCCGCTTTGAGCTCGGCGGAGCGCAAGACGTCGCGCTCATTCAGCTCCTTGTTCCGCTCCTTCAGCGCGCGCATTGAGGCGAGGAGTTCGCTCACAACCTTTTCGCCTTGCTCCACCAAGCCCGAAAGGCGCCCAACTTCGAGCGCGCAGTCGCCACCGCCGCACACACGCTTTGGCGTTAGGACAGCTGCTGTTGCTCTGCGAAAAGAGTTTTGCTGCTGGCCTTTCGCCTCGCTCGAAAAGCGAGTGCCGGTCTGCTGCATGTGCGTGCCTCGCTTGCCCGGGGGTGTGCGGCTTGACGACGCCACTGGCCGCGAGCGGACGTTTGTCGGTTACACGTTGGCGGCAAAAGATGCAGCAAACAAAGAGGGCGAGGTGGTCGAGCACGGCAGGGGCGAGGGGCTACGGCACCACATTCCGACGAGACTCCCTTTCCTCTGCGCGACTGTTGAAACCGACTTGTCGGCGCTGTCCCTCTAGGCACGCGGCGCGTGCAGCCGCCCGCGTCGCAGAGCGGTGGATGGCGGACGCCATTGTCCAGCAATGCCGCAAGGAGGCGTTTGCTCTCACTGAGGAGACCCCGCATGAGGCGGATCTTTCCACTGCTCGGCAGTCCGTGACTCACGCCCGCCTTTTGCACCCTAAAGGAGCTCGCGGAGAGGAAGCTGGACGCGCGGCGCTGCTTGCTGCACGATGATCTCGCGTCGAATCCGCTCGGTTCCTCGTCCTCTCACTCACATCACACAGGGGCGGCGGCGAAACGCGAGCGGGCGCTTGCTCGGCTCGAGAGGCGCAGCGAGGCTGCACGGCTCGCGCTGGTGCGCGCAGAGGTCGAGATGCGAGGTGTCGTCGGGGCCGCTGGGTAGTGCTCTTAGTTATGGTCACAAACCAACAGGTCAGGCCACGACCCACGTCTGAAGACCTAAGAAAAAGCAGAGAGAGAATGCAGGGAGTAAAAGAACTCGACGTACGGCGCGCAAAAAAAGAGACACACTCTAAACACTAAAGTGCTCTACCAAACAAATCACCGTGTAGCGTGTTGCTCTCTCGCTGCCTCGAAAAAGACTAGAAAAGGACAACCCAGGGGCCTGTGCCAGGGGAGGTCGGAGGTACTTGCAGGTTTTCTGACGTTGTAAAATCCTCGCAACCCTGTCAGCAGTGGTCCTCCTCCGCTCTCAGGGGAACGGGAGCGGGGGAGCGCCGATCCCGACCTAGATCCTAGACCTAGTGTTCTTTCGTAAAATTTGTTTCTCCTTGTGAGAGTCGTGATTTCTTGTTGCATGTTGGTTTGCCAAAAACCGGAAACGAATCGGAAACGAATCGGAACCGGAAACGCATACTCGAGTACTTGTAGTATAGTAGGGTGAGAATTATGAAAAACGCCGGAATTCGGACGGGTACTCTCGCCTGCACAAATTCGATAAGTGGGACAAGGAGGGATGCGTCCAGGATGCACGTCAGGAAACGAGTGGACACGGACGGACGCCCTATCGAACGCGCAATCGCAGTTCGCCATGGTCAAGGAGGAAAGAAAAGAGGTTTCATTCTTTAAAATTCTTTGTTGTGTGCCAGTCCGCGCCAGTCCGCGCCCTTGTCGTGCCAGGGATTCTAAATTCTTTCCTGCTGCTCGCGCTGGCGTAAAGATGCCCATCAGGCGAGCCGACAGTCACGACCTGGCGCCGGCTGCCGCCTTTCGGAGTCGATACCAGCCTCACAACGCGGCGGGATTCCAGTTTCCAAATCCCCGGGCGATTGCATGGCCGCCACGCAGCGCGATCCTCGGCGCTGCGGGCCTGGTCGAGGAGAAGGCGAGGGTT